TTACTATGTTCCAACATTTTTTAACAGTATTTTAAAAAACTTTATCTTGTAAAATTTCAAAAACACATACAGAAGTAGAGAAAAAAACCAATGTTGTAACAAACAACATTTGTCCAATCTTTTATCTATAACCCTCTCCTCCATCACTTGATTATTCTGAAGCCTAAATTGATTATTTCATGTCTAAATACTTCAGTATGCATTTTTAAAAGACAAAGATCCTTTAAAAATAACACAATTCCATTAACAGACCTAAAATGTAATATTTCCTTGATATCACCAAGTCAGTATCAAAATTTTACCAATTGTCTCACAACATTTTTTCTAGCTGCTTTGTTCGAATCAGGATCCCCCCCAAAGGTCCACATATTATATTTAATGGACATCTTTTGGTCCATATATATTGCCCTTGGTTGATATGTCTTTTAAGCCTCTTTTAATTGCTAGGTTCCTCCTCTCTAAATTTAGTCATTTAGGGCCCGGCCCCGTGGCGCACTGCTACAGTGCGCTGCTTGGGAAGTGTGGTGGCGCTCCCGCCGAGGGTTCGGATCCCACATACAGACCGGTTCCCGCTCACTGGCTGAGCGAGGTGCAGGGAGCAACACTGAGGGTTGCGATCCCGTTGCTGGTCCCGGGCCGGTACGGGTGCGACACTGAGGGTTGCGATCCATTGCCGGTCATGAAAAAAGACAAAAAAAGGAAAAAAATAAAAATAAATAAATAAATTTAGTCATTTACCTAAATGCATTACATGTATAAAGTCACACAATCCCTCCACAATAGTATGAAATAGGTATTATCATTATTCCCATTTTGCTGATGAGGCAATTGAGTCACAAAGTAGTTAAGTGACTTACCTGAATTCTCACAGTTATTAAGTGTCAAAGCTGAGATTCGAATACATGAATCTAATCGACTATATTATGTTTCACGTAATATAGTGGTCTTTAACAAATGCGTCTAAAATATGTATTGTGGCATATTAGTCACCAATATAATGATGAAGAGTTTGCTCAAGGTAAACTAACAGTCATGAATAATTATATAATATATTCTATTATAGAGAATGGTGGATCCCTACATTTTGATTTCTTGCATATTTCATGACTTTTTTTCCATCCTGCTCCATATCACCCTCTTTAATAGAGAGTAAAGAGAGAATGAATGCAAGTGCTTCTCTCCTTGTCTTAGGGCAAAACCAAACCAAACCAGGCTAAACAGGTTTTAAATTTTTTTTTTTAATTACATAAGCAAAAACCATACAAACACTAATTACAGATACAGAAGAAAGTGAAGTAAATTAAAATAATCTTTAAGATCACATTTTTGGTGTATATTCATTTATGTGTATGTATAAGCAAGTATACAAACTTTTATTAAAGTTTTTATTATACAAACTTTTTAACATGATTTCTCACCTGAATACATTCAATGAAAAAATTGTTCTTTAAAATAATACATATCTATTGCAGAATCTTTAAATGATAAAGAACATATAAAAAGAAAACTCCTCACTAATTCTACCTTCCAGGGTTAAATACAATTATTCTTCTAGATGCTAAATACTATTCTTTTTTTTTTTTTTTTAAGATGACCGGTAAGGGGATCTTAACCCTTGACTTGGTGCTGTCAGCACCACGCTTAGCCAGTGAGCGAACCGGCCAACCCTATATGGGATCCGAACCTGGGGCCTTGGTGTTATCAACACCACACTCTTGCGAGTGAGCCACGGGCCGGCCCTAAATACTATTCTATTATACAGACGTACCATAATTTGTTTAACATTTACCCTATTTTGGATATTTAGATTGTTTCTAACTTTCCAGTTGCAAATAATGCTGCAGCAAATATCTTGTATTTATCAAATAATTTCTTGAGTCTATTTTTTTTCAAATTTCCAGGAAAGGAGATTCTAATCCTTTTCTAGCATTTCCATTTTTTGGACTTCTACCTCTCATCCATAAGAAATGTCACAAAGGAATGAAAAATGAAACATAAAACATCCAACCCATAGCAAGAAAGATTTGCTGCCAAATTATCTGCGCATGGGAGGATTAATTAATGTCGCAAAGAAGGGGGGAAAGATAGCTTTAAACCTAGATATTGGAAGCATGGGGAGAAAGAAAAGGCTGGTTGGGCTCTACTGCCTTTAATTTTGAGGATGAATTTTAATTCTGACAGCCCCAGACAATGGTATAGAGCTTAATCACTTTGGGGTCATTTGGATTTGAGTTTAAGTCCAGACTTTGCAATTTACTAATTACGTGAACTCAGACATAGTCAATATCTCTGTGTCATAGTTTTCTCATCTGTGAAAGAGGTATAATAATAGCGCCTTGTGGAATTGCTAGAAGAATCAATGCCTGGCACATTATAAATATAATTTAATTTTAATATATGCATTTATAATTTAAATATAGTATCATATATTTAACCAGAAGACCAAAGACTTTACTATAGAAAGGTGAAATGTAGTCCTCAAACTGTGATCTTGAGTATGCAGTCTCTTTTGAGCAATTCAAGTATTATATGAACAATATTTCTGCCTTCATACTACTTTATGAGAAAAGTTTAATAAGCTAGACAATAAAATATATAAGAATTTCTAGAATAATAATATGACTCCAGGAGGAAAAGTGGAGGTGGGCTCCCTGGTAGCATTTTCTGTTTCTGGATGGAGATTATTCTGTAAGGAGCAAAGAAATGTGCTATGAGGATATTCCACATTCTGGGATACTCAGGATAAGGTATGCTATAGGATTTTCAAATAAATTGAACAATAGTCATATATTACGGTATCCGTTGTGTACCGTACCGTTTAAAAAAGCATTTTCACATAAATTATCTCATTTGATCCTTGCAACAGCCTTATTGAGTTGGCAGGCCAAGTATCCAGGGCCCCTCTTCGCTGACCGAGATTGCAGAGAGAGGACCTTGCACAAGTTTACAAAGCTGGAACCAGGAGTAGGACCCAGATCTCTGATGTTTATTTCTCGGTTATACGCTCGCTCGTTTATCCCTTTATGTATTCACTCACTCAAGGAGCCTTCAGTGAACTCCAGGATGATATCAGGGTAACATTAACTTCGCGCCCATCCCCATCAAGGACATTCCCGAGAAAACTGAGGATGTTCATCTGCATATAGAATACAGCGGAATGAAAAAAGGCCCGCGTAGCAGAGTAGCGCGTAAACTGGAGTGCACAGTCCGTGCACGGTGTGCACGAGGGAATCTCCCGATAGCGGCAGGAGGCGGTCATCCCGGGGAGGCAGCGAGCCGCCCGGAGCGAAGCGGCGGGCGGGTGGTGGCTGCAGAGGAGCGAGCGGGGGGCGAGCGGTCCGCACGGTGGGCAAAGCGGCGGCGTTTCCCCAGCGCCTGCGTGAGCGCGGCCGCGCGGCGCCCGGGGCGGAGCGCACAC